CATGCTAGTCACTCCCAGGAAGATGTAGTTTGATCAGGCTACATCCCCCTAAATTGACTATATGTCTCTAAGCTCAATCGTGCTATCCAACAATCTTAATACTTTTTGTTTGGTTCTAGGACGATACTGACTTCTGTGTTTTATTAGTGATGTGTGTATATATAATACTTAGTTAAATTTAGATACTTAATAGTATATTATTCTTGGTCAGAGTGTTTTACTCCCGAAGTGTTTATAGTTCGTATATATTTTATAGGTTGATATACTTGATTCACTATAAACAATGCTCTGATACCAATTTGTCACACCCCAAAACCGATAACGGCGGAATACGTTTCGGGGTGGATGACGTAGTGTACAGTATCATCACAATTGTATAATAGTAAAAGCAAGAAACATACAACCATTTCATTTATATAGTAAGTGTATTTACAAGTGTGTTTTGTAATGTTTGACAAACACCAAAAGTAAACAAAAATAAGAGATGGGTCTTGTATCTTCCATCTTTTCCAAAAATGCTGCTGCTGTACCTGTCTATCTTTGACCTGAAGATACAAGTTATTTTGAAAAGAATTATCAGCATAAAGCTGGTGAGTTCATAAGAGTTTTAGTGTGAGTACTTGTATAAAAAGCATTAGAGTCATTATTATGAAAACTGAAGTTTGAAATCATAAATAGTGGTGAAACCTAGAAAATCCCATATTTTCCAGAACATTAAGTAATGGAATATAGTGAGTTATTCTTAGAGTATGTAATAGTGGTGCAGCATCCTTTAGTATCAGATACTTATTTACTTCGGGATATTACTTCATCTTTCATTTAGTATTTTAGTGCGGTTATAGTGTCTTTCTTGTATGTTCCTAATAGTGTGAGTAATAGCGGATCCCCATGACCTTCCCAGTCATGTTAGTGTATTGCTTCATAATATAGAGAATTATAGTAGTGTAGAGTAATAGTGGAAACTAGGGATAGAGTCCTTAACTATACCCATTATAGTTAATTTAGTGTGTGTGGTTCTAGTCAAGTAATGATTCAGGTAATTAATGAATTAAGAAGTACTCATAATCTGTACTAATATATGAGATATATAATTAAGAAATCAATGACAGTCGGATGGATAACTACTACCCTAAGTCCACAATCAAACAAGAAACAGGAAATAAGGCGAGCTATCGGTCCTAAGTCTTTCAAGTCTTACTTATATAAATATATTAGTATGATTACATTCTCATAAAGAGTTTTATTTAACAAAAGTATTGTACGAAAGGAACATTTAAAACTTGTTTGTTAATCCAAGATAGTTTTGAAAACAATTGACTTATTTATAAAGCATAGTGATAAATCACATGTGATTTGAACTACAGGTTGTGAATCACATGTGATTAATTCTGTAATTTGAAAAATAGTCTTGTATAACTTTTCATAAACATGTATATTCAACTTGTATCTCCCCCCCTAAAACATATAAAACATTTGAAAGGTTCATTAAGGGGTATGAACTCACCTAAAATCGCGGAAATCGGGTAAATCGGGTAAATCGGGTAAAAGTGTCGATTGAGCGTTTGGTACCCAATAACCTCTTGAGCACCTCTTAGGACCCTAATGTTATATGAAATATGTATTTTACAAGAAGTTAATCATCTTATGCTTTTCATTATAGTATTTGGACATTCTAGCATCGTTTTCGGGGTTTTAAGGCCTAGAAGGGGGTTCCCGGGAGTGGTACAAGGTCATGAATGATTTACGGGAGGGTCCACGAGCTCACTCTTTTGGAGTTTATGGCCCAAAGGCCATCCTTTGGGATTTTACGGCCGTAAACCCCCTAGGTTTGGCCGTAAACTCTTGTGGCACTCCAAAGTGTATGTTTAAGGTCTTATTTCACTTCCTTGATTTAGTGGTATGTGTCTTGGACTATTTTAAGGGATTAAACATCATAATTTGTGACATTTTTGGGGAGTTTACGGCCAAGACTTGTTCTTGGGCCGTAAACTCTTGTAAACCCTTCAAGACGTATGTTTTATTGGTACAACAAAGTCTCATACACCTTAGATAAATCCTAGAAGGCCATATAGTGAGTTTGGGACAATTTGGCATATATTTTTGGGGAGTTTACGGCCCAAGAACATCCTTGGCCGTAAACTCTTCATTCTGTGTCCAAATGTGAAGTTAAATGGTACAACACACTTCCAAAGGCCTTAGATAAAATCCTTACATGCATTTGGGGGGTTTTGGGACTTGTTTGACACAAAAACATGGGTGTTTACGGCCCAAGCTTAGCCTTGGCCGTAAACTCCTCTTTTTGCCATCAAATGATGTTGTTTGATGCATTTAAGCCTTCCTTGTTGTCAAGTCTAAATTGCCAAACACCCTAGATGAGTTTTTGGGACTTTAAACAAGTGTTTTTGGGGTGTTTGAGGTGTTTACGGCCTAAGCACATGCTTGGGCCGTAAACTCCTTTTTTTACATGCCTAATCCATGTGTTTTAGTTTCCAAACCCTTCTAGATACATGCCTTAATTAGTATACTAGCTTATCATGAGGAAAAACTTGATCTTTGGCATGATTTTGGGGGTTTACGGCCTAAGGAGCTTCTTAGGCCGTAAACTACTTTATGGTCCTTGATTCTCATGATTTTGGGCTCTGAAAGCAGTAAAGTATGATTAGATTAAGTTAGGGGATGAATCCTTACGTTTGGAAGTCGGAAATTCGCGGATTTGGAGTCGATTTCGGGTCTAGAGAGAGAAAGTAGTGAGATAGAGGTGTAATTGTGGTAAAAGAGTCCAATTGAAGTGTTCAAGCGTTTTTATATGTCTCAGGTATTGTACCCGATACACGGCTACCTGATGCTAAAGTTTAACGGGGTTAAAACTTTTTACCCGGGTGAAGTGGTTGAAATAGTAATACAACTCCATTAGGTTAAACTAGATTAACACGTATGAGTTATATTACTTATAATGATATTAGGACATGCATAAAATTAGATATTCGGATATTAACGATTCCAAATATTACATAAAATAACGTACGTTAACGTATTCCGTTAGTGAAAATGGGATTTGTAACGGGAATAGATTTAGGGTTGTCACAAAAGGACAAAAGCAAGGTAGAAAGCTTTGATAACAAATCTAACCCACAAGAATCTGAGTATGAATCCGAGCCTGAATTTGCAATAGAAAAAAGAGACAACGAAAACGAGCCAGAAAAAGAGATGTAAAATGTTGTGGATATGTCCATGGGAGCATACAAGGAGCGGATAAGAGATGATGCTGGTCACTGTCCAGTACAACCTACAATTCCCGCCACTGCAACATTCGAGTTGAAAGGACACATTGTTGTTGCACTTAAGGATGTACCATTCTATAGAAAGGACCATGAGGATGCTTATAACCATTTAGATGAAGTCAATGATATTACATATTATTTTAATGTCACGAATGTTCCAAGAGAGACCGTGCTGTTAAGGATGCTTCCCGTTACTTTTAAAGGATCTACAAGAGACTAGTCTTCTCACTTCCACCTGGTTCCATCACTACCTGGGCACAAATGAGAGAGCAATGTTTGGAACAATTCCGCCCACCATCAAAGATAGCTAAACTTAAGAAGGCAACATCCAACTTTGATCAAAATCCAAGTGAATAACTTTATGAGGTATGGGAGTGTTATAAAGGGTTGCTAAGAAATGTCCACAAAATGACCTTAACATACAACAAGAAGTCTCAATATTTTATGATGGTGTGAATGTCATGACAAGGTAACCCCTTGATTCTCAAGGACCACTAAAACTAACAAGGAAAAATCCGGGGAAGTCAAGGAGTTGGTTGAAGAATTTGCAAAGCATTCTCGTGAGTACCACAATCCAAGAAATAAAGGAGCTAAAGGATTTGGGGGAGGAAATTCTGAAGAC